CCCCAAAACCCCAAAACCCCAAAACCCCAAAACCCCGCTTGGTATTCTAAAAGTTGATATAAGCTCATGAATCATCCCAAATTAATAAGATTTAATAGATTTTAATAAATCATGGAAACTAGAGGAACTAAGAGAACAGCTGAAGTGATCGAAGACAGCAAGAATGATACCTCTAATAAGAGACAGAAGACAAGTGAGGAGAATGAGACTGAAGTTAAAGTTCAGGACATTGCTCACTTAATGAGGATCGATTCTATCAATATGACAAATGCATCTGGATCTGGACACCCAACTTCATGTTCATCTATGGCTGAGTTACTCTCAACTGTTTTCTTCCATCCAAGCGGGATGAAGTTTAATCCTCATACTCCAAGAGGCTTTGAGAATGACAAATTTGTGCTCTCTAAAGGCCATGCTGCTCCTATTCTTTATTCAGCATGGAGTCATGCTGGGCATGTTCCAAAAGAAGAACTGATGAATCTAAGAAAGATTGACAATGATCTTGAAGGGCACCCAACTCCAAGACTTGACTTCATCGATGTTGCAACTGGTAGTCTTGGACAAGGCCTTAATGCTGGTGTGGGAATGGCTTACTCCATGAAGTACTTTGAAAAAGTATCCAACAAGGTATTCTGCTTACTTGGTGATGGAGAAATGGCAGAGGGATCTAATTGGGAGGCTATGAACTTTGCATCCTTCTACAAGCTCGACAACTTGGTTACTATTTTAGATATTAACAGGCTTGGGCAGTCTGATGAAACATCTCTGGGACACTCAGTTGATGTCTATGAGAAAAGATTTGATGCTTTTGGATTCCATACTTTCGTGGTCGATGGACATAGCGTTTCTGAAATTGTTAAAGCTCTTGAAGATTCTAAAAATATTACAGATAAGCCAATTGCTATCCTAGCTAAAACTATTAAAGGGAAGTACTTCCTTGAAAAGGCAGACAAGCAACCATGGCATGGAAAACCTTTAGGAGGTGAGAGTAGTCCTGTCGTAGAAAATATTGAGAAGATGATCCAAGATAAGAACGCTTCAATTATTCCACAAACTCCTGAATCTGAAGCGAAAGAGCCAGAGCATACCGAACTGGCAGTCCCTGAATGTAAATATAACGTGGGAGACTTTGTGGCAACAAGAAAAGCTTTCGGAGAATGTGCCAAACTCCTCGGTGACCAATCAAATCTGGTTGTAGGTGTTGATGCAGATGTAAAGAACAGCACAATGCTCCAATTCTTAAAAGATGCTCACCCAGATCAATTCATCGATTGATTTATTGCCGAACAAAACATGGTTGGTGCAGCAATCGGAGCTGGAGTTAGAGGAAGAATTCCTTTCTGCTCCACTTTCGCTACGTTCTTTACAAGAGCCTTTGACCACATCAGAATGGGAGCGATTTCACAATGTAATGTAAAATTCGTAGGATCTCATTGTGGTGTATCCATTGGAGCAGATGGACCTTCACAAATGGGTCTTGAAGATATCGCAATGTTCAGAACAGTTCCAAATTGTGTTGTATTTTATCCATCAGACTCTGTATCCACCTTCCATGCTACTACTCTTGCTGCCAATCACAAAGGAATGGTATTCATTAGAACTGGAAGACCTGAAGCTAAAACCATCTACAAAAATGATGAAGAATTCAAGATTGGACAGAGCAAGGTTACTCTTTCGAGTGAAGATGACAAGATCACTCTTGTAGGAGCTGGAGTGACTTTCACTGCAGCAAGTGAAGCTGCAGAGAAGCTTAAGGAAGCAGGAACTAATGTTAGAATCATTGACCTCTTCTGTGTAAAGCCTATTGATAAAGAAACACTTGTAAAATCTGCCCAAGAAACCAACAACACCATCTTAGTGATTGAAGATCATTATCCAGAAGGAGGTCTCTTCGAAGCAGTTTGCTCAGCTGTTGCATCTGAAGGAGTAAAGGTACACTCTCTCGCAGTTAATGATGTTCCAAGAAGCGGAAAGCCAAAAGAGCTCCTTGCTAAATACAAGATTGATTGTGATGCAGTAGTAGAAAAAGTAAAAGAGTTGACTTCATAGATAATTCATATTGGATATCCACCTTCAATTTTATTTGATGCAAAAGGGGTTTTGGGGTTTTGGGGTTTTGGGGTTTTGGGG